GCAGAATGTGCATAGCTGTAGGCGGAAGGCAATTTGAACATTTATTATAAAATTATAACGGTTTTTTGCTTTTATTTCTAAAGACCTTATTTTACCCGTCGTTTACACAAATTAGTGCCATAAAAGCTAATATCAGTATAGTCATCATGTTGATTAACGTAAAGACATTCCTAATAATGTGAAATAACACAACTAAATACTAATTTCATTAATTTAGTTTTTTTTTAGATATTCGCCTCTTCTTCGGATTCATTGTATTATGTTTGCAACTTTACTAGTTAACCATAAGTTTTATACCAATTTTGAAACCTTACTTAATGCACATGTTTTTAAAATAATGGAACACTTTGGTGTCATACTTTTTTTTACATTAGGAGCTTTTCAATTTAGGTCATCCAAATAAAATACAATAAAATGTTAAGTTACTTCAATATTTTTGAGAGAAATACAATGTCATTATGCAAATGTGATAAACGAGTTGATAGTCAATCTATCTAGCTACATTTTAGCGAAAAAAAGTTTGAAAATTTTTAATATCTGCATCAATGCTATTAAAAAAACCAATTCAAGACAGAAATATTGAAAAAAAAACCTTTTATCATTTTTTTTGGCAACCCTAATGAATTTCAAAAAACGGTTCAAATTAGTTGTAGGCAATCGAGTGAACTACCTAGGGTTTACGGTTGGACCATTACTTACGGGACATCCTGTATAATATAATAATATAACATATAATTTTTACAACTTTTGGTATTAGAAATTCGCTTCTGTTGATAAGGAATAAACATTTAATAGTATTCAAGAGATTGTTGAAATTATTGTCTGCAAACCAGATCAACTGAGCAACTTTGATAACGTTTCTCAGTTGTTAATTTGCGAGCGCAGCATAGATTTCAACACTGCATTCCCGATTCAAACTTTATCGGCCGAATATAGGACACTGTTGCAATAATGTTCCAATAAAAAAAAAGGTTTTTTTACGTTATTGTTCGCCGTTGAACTTTTATTCCCAACGTAACAACTTTGTATTTCAATAAAACGTTTCTGTTGTGTTCAATAAAACGTTGTGTATATGGCCGTACAGCTTCAATTTTCGGATAAAAACTCGAGTAAATTACGTTAAGAAACGCACATTATTGTGTAATTTTACTACACATGTAACATCATTGCAAGTGTTTTATTCGGTCTAGATTAAATAATAAACAGGTATATTGTGGATTCAACAGCTTATTCGAGAACCCTACTTAATAGAGGTATCTAATACAATCAGGTATAGGTTACCAAACGAAAAAATGCAATTCTTAGTGAAATGTTTCCCCCGAGGACCTTAGAAATTATTTTACAATATTGTTGTTTATAATTCAAATAGTTTTGTATAACTTAGATGGGAAAACTACTGTTTGTAGGCTTTCACGGTAACGTGCAGTACGAGCGAGCAGTTATTCAACAGTTTCTAGGAAATCATCAAGATTACTTATTGCCTTTTGTTAACAGTCTTGTTTTATGTGTGTTTTATGTTTTCATCTAAATATGCTACCTTTGTGGCACACAGTTTTCATTTTAAATTATTTAAATGAATTACTATTGCATGTCTTTGTTTGTAATTATGTGGTTAGCATTCATTGTTTTGAAAACCAAAAAGAGACCCTTTTAATATTAATTCCTATAGGTTCACTGATACACTACTCACTTTTTAAATTTCAGGGATCCTACAAATTTTTTGAAAAAGAAAATTTTGGTCCATCCTAAGACTGACCATTAAGAAAGTTGCATAGCTTTCATAATTTGTAGACTGAAAGTAGTTACCACAACACAGACTGATATTTTATTCAATGCTATTTTCGGGCGTTTCTGTTTAATTTGTCTATTTAGGTTTGTGTAATTTTATCAGTACTTTTATTTAATAAGTAGGTAATTTTAAAAGGCTCATTTATTTAAGGCATGGTCATTCGAATATAATCTTAGCTAAACCTGACTTTGGGATATCTATTTATGAGTAAAAAGTCGTAAAAGTAATATGATGAACGAAACAGTCTGTGAATTCATAATCCTTAAGTGAGATTATGTTTTGTAAGACCGAGGAAAGACGATGCACTTTCGCTATTTCTGTGGCTTCACCAAATTGTTGTACCGTTAAAAGGATTTGTCTTTTGTAAGATTTCTATAGCTATGTTGAAAAGTTAACAAAGAGTGTTTGTCCACCGAATAGCCTCCAAAGTTCTTCAGACAGTTCATTATTTCATTTGTTTATGGCGCCTCATAACCAAATGACTGTCCCAGTCAACCTTTAGTCTAAAGTTCTATATTTATAAAGTTACCAAATGATATTGTTGAAATTGTAATTCTTCTATCTAAAAACAACACGTCCATTTTTATCCATTTTGAATTCCAAAGCTGAACGTGACCCTAGTTTTGTTGGCTTTTTGACGTGACAACGTCTTAAATTAGGTTGCGGCTGGGAGTCACTTATGAAAAAGTGTAACGCTCGGTAACGTTACGATGAGTCTCTCGTGTTAAGTTTAAGTTTACATGTACAATGTTTTAGTAAACAAAATATATTTCTATAGTTAAAATTTGTGCAATTCTTATTTTCATTCAATTCCTTGTTCCTATTGTGCAATTTAATTATATTCATATCAATAAATATTCTACCGAGAAAAAGACGTTGTCACGTAAAATCTTCGCCCGTAAAACCGACTTTACAGGCAACCATTTTGACGTGACAACGTCTTAAATTAGGTTGCGGCTGGGAGTCACTTATGAAAAAGTGTAACGCTCGGTAACGTTACGATGAGTTTAAGTTTACATGTACAATGTTTTAGTAAACAAAATATATTTCTATAGTTAAAATTTGTGCAATTCTTATTTTCATTCAATTCCTTGTTCCTATTGTGCAATTTAATTATATTCATATCAATAAATATTCTACCGAGAAAAAGACGTTGTCACGTAAAATCTTCGCCCGTAAAACCGACTTTACAGGCAACCATTTTTTTAGAATAATAAATTTCCAAAGCAAAGCTTGAATAGAGAAATGCACATAATATCCTATTTTGTATTCATGACATCAAAGAAGCATAACATTAATTAGTTTCGGGCACAGAGCCCATATCAAATAAGGGCTATGACCCCACACGAACGAGTTCTTTCGGACTTCATACTTTGGTTTACGTGAAAAGAATAGTATCAAAATTTGTTCTTTTGTAGCAGTCGAATTTCTTACTGTAACACATCTCGTTTTCGATTTGATAAACAATAAGTTCGTCTGTAGTTAAACGTATACGTACGACTATTTAACACGTCGGTTTTCCATATTTCGTTTTTGAACGGAACTTCCAACTTTAAACAAAGACGTCAACACGTCATACGTTCACAAAATAAAGAGGAAATAGAATTTCACCCTCATTTGTGACGTTACCGTCGAGACGGGGAATGTATATACTCTTAAAATATATAATATCATATTTTATCAACTTTACAGCGACGCCTTAACAATCGCGATAACTTCAATGGCAAACATTATAGCTATTCTTTATCTTCACTTGATTACATATGAAAATAATTCCATCAAGCGTATTTGATTTCGTGTGACCGCACCTAATTTTGTATACGCTCATTTTATGTATAAACACACCTCGTGCTTTTGGCTATCTCTTTCTGAACTTTCTGAGCTGAAGGTTTGATAATCACAATCTTATTTTTCTGAATAATTAAATAATAAAGTAATTCAGCGGACTTGTTTAAAAAAATGAGAAAGCGTAACAGGAATTTTAAATAAGTACCAACCATCGAGTTATTGTTACGTGTGTTTAAAACAAGTTTCTTTTGTTGATAAGGCCAAAGAAATGTCTGGGACGTGTCGTTGACTCCTACTGTGTAACATTTACCATTCAAAGTATTTATGTGTGTGACCATTATCAACCGGTAATGAGAGTCGCTCGAAGGACCATAATGTCATTTCACCCTTTATATTTTCTTGTAGGTGTGTTTTGTCATTAACTTTATCTCTTTTGTGTTCAGGTCACTTTCATTTTCTAGAAATTATTACGCATGGTAATATGTATTTTTTGAATAAGCAATTTACTGTTATTGTTCTTTCTAAAGTGCGAATGGCATTAATTTATAGATTATGCGATTTTATATTTTTTGAAAGATATTAAAACACGTTAAAGAAAATAATGTTGGAACAGTTATACTGAATATTGTTTGAAAAATAACTTCCCTAGTCAAGTTCTCTATTGACGAAAGTTTATAAGATACTCAATAGTTTTAGACATCAAGATAAATTGATGACATTAAAACGTTTTTTTTCCCTAACAATAGATATTTACTGTAAAATGGCGCCACATAATGGCAAAATTCGTTAACTAGCAATAAGCTGTTATCGAACTTAATGACATTGGTGTCGCAATCACGCTTATCATCTATAAAATCAGGGCGCCCGTTTTAAAGAAAGTGCTCACGTTTTGGTGAGTCCCAGCTGAAGTATTACTTAATATTAAAAATCAGGATAATTAATGCAATGATTTACAGAAAGAAGATAAGCTAGGTAATCTAGAATAAGTATGGTCATCGCAATAGATGCCTATTAACTAACACATTTTCATAATCATTCTTTTGCTTGACTGAAACTGTTAAGTAGCATAGGTTTTCAAAATATATTAAATAAATTCTTCTTCTTTTCCTTAACAGGAAAGAAAAAATATTTCAGCAATACGCGGAACTTACAATTAAAATTTCCATAGAATAATTCTGGTTTTCTTTTGTCTTTTGCCACTGATGTTTACACGATTTCCCAATTTAAATTAATTGGTGTCTCAACGTTAATTTTAGAAGTATAAAATGCAGTTATGTCATGTCATTTATTTCATGTAAAAATGATTTTTTTTCTCTAATTCATTAGTTTGCTGAGTAATTAAAATAGTTATGAATCTAAGTGCAACCCACTAATATTCCTAGTATTGCGTATTTTCGTGTAAGTATTAGGTAGAAATTCTTACCATTGAAAGTGTCATATGCTGTGGGCACGTATTCCTCTCTGAAGGTGTCCTGTGCATAAGCTGCGATCAATGAGCTTTTGCCCACTGCCCCATCACCCACCAACACACACTTTATCTTATCTTTCTTGCCACCTTTCACCTTTCTTCTATCTTTAATTTGAAACATCCTATTCAAAGTTCTCCTGGTTTTCTTATCGCGTACAGTCCATTCGTTCACTCTATCACAGCAATTTAAGTCTTCAGACACATCATCTCGGATTGCAGTCCTACCAGTCTCTTCAGTTACTTCTGAGTAGTCGTAATCGTCTTCGTCTCTTCGTTTGGGGAATTGGCTGGGACTGTGCACACCAAACACAAAGGGCCCGTCTCGCTCTTGGAAACGGTTAGATATTCCGTTGACTGGCGTCGGAGGTTTCGCATAATGCACTGCAGGAGCATGATATTGGTTTGATAAATAGTTCGCCGAAGCGTGAGGGTCGAACCTAAAAACTAATTCAGCTTCTTTTCGGTCCAAGCTCAGCTCGGGCGATGCAACTTTATCTTGAAAGTAGCCAACTTTCTCACGGGCCCGTGCCTCCTGCAGTCGTCTCTCGAGTTCGACATTCGATGGCTTATAATAATCCGGTCGGTATTCGCGTGAATAATCCGGAGGTAAGTTCCTAGGGGCTGGTAAGGGCCGCTGAATGCTAGTGTCGCGGGGCGGCGCACGCGGCGGTACCACTAGAGGCTTTTGCGGTTCCGCCAACAAAGGCCGGCGCGCAGACAGGTTTGCGTTCCTGTTGAACATGATCCCTTCCAGACTGGGAGACATTTGCACTGTCACAAATAACGACCGACGAGAGAACTAGTGTACCGTGATGCGTTCGCGCACATTACTCAGCGCTGCGATGATATCGCTCGCGGGAAAGTCTCGCGTGACGTGAAGAGTGCGCGCGACAATAACGTATGTACTGCGCTGTGGATAAAACACGACTGGCGTGACGGGCCTTAGCGTAGTCAGCCCTGCGACGGGCAGGGCCGGTAGCGGCGCTCCCCGCGTCGGAGAAATGACCTGTTGCTTCTGTTACCTGTTCAGGTACAAACGACCGTTTTGCAATTCGGTGCAGCTGCTGCCACGAACAAAGCGCGTCATATGGCGATCGTTGGCTAGACGCCTTGTTTGACCTCGCAAGGAGGTTCATTCAAGAACCGCGATGTGAATGAAAACTGACGTGCTTGGTATATTAAACATGGTACATTTTATTTCTACTGTACATACATGCTAAGTAAATATATTGTCAACGGTTAACCATAACCAACTAGGTACCAGAATGCTAATAAGGATTGATTTATGTTTACTACAGTAGATACGGTAAATAATTGAACAGTAGGTACTAGGCAAAGTAAGCAGGTAATCTATTATGTCGAAGTATGATTTGATAAATCAAATTTTCGCGAAAATCCTAGAGATTTTGTGAAAACGCGGATAATTAGACGCGTAGTACATACGTTATTGAGAAATGTCATTAATTTTTAGTTTAATTATCAGCGTTTTTCCTTAAATCCCTAGGATTTTAAGGGAAGTTCGATTTATCAAATCATCCTAGGTATATACTAAGGTTCTATTTACAAAGTTATCTTATAAAAAAGACTAGAGAAATTAGAAAGGCCGAAGTAACTCAAAGTGATTTACAGGTATAGGTACTTCCGTCAGGGATATAAAAATTAGAGAAGCAGTTTATTATTGTCATACTTATTGCTATTGCAATTTTCATAATCTTGAAACGAGGCATGCTATGGCCTGGCCACTATGCCGACACTATCGGTAGTAAAAATGTGAAAAGCAATAAAGGCTCTTGATACAAGCCGTTTTAATTATTACGTAAATCGGGCACTTTGTAATCTAAATATGTGGATTTTTCTACCGTCATTTCAATAATGTATTTTTAATAAAAAAAAAATCTTCATTTTTCTTACGGCCAGAATTTTAATCTGATAAGTTCATCTTTTGAGTCCATTTGCCGCACGCCGCAGATAGATTACTTGCTCAGCGCGCCGCTGTTTCCCTAGTAAAAAATCAGGTAGGTATATATTTTTTAAACTCTTTTTGAAATACGAACAAATACTTGTATCTTCTATCATCAAATTATCTCACATTTGTGCTTGAAATTCCCGCCAAATAAACAAAACAATTTAATTTTTTATTTTTCTTCCTGGGAAGGCAAAGGGGACCACGCTCATGATGCTTAAACTTTTCAAAATTCAAAGAGGGAAAGTAAAGGATTTTCATTTCTACGATATATAATGTAGTCTTTCTTATTAGAGTTCCGCGTCTAATAACACAAACGGAACCCATAAGTCACTTTGTGTTTAATTTTGTTCATCTGTCTGTCAAGATCCTTTTCTCGGGAATGCGTAGAGCTTAGGCTAGGAAAATTTCGACGCGGCTAATAGGGCCGTGGTAGCATAATGGTCAGCATTCGACCGGATAGCGAAGGATGCGGGTTCGAGTCCGGTCCGCTGCCTGGTCCGCGTGGATTTTTTTCTAGTAAACTTTTCTTTAGATTTAAACATCTAGCAGATAAATGCTTAAAAAAAAAAACAATGCGTAGAGCTATCAAGCTAAAATTAATAGCAATCAAATACTTAGGCCTGCAATTTCGAGCATCTGCAAATAAATCTTCTAATGCCGGCACTCCACATGGCTATTCGTGTTTGATATTTGTCATTTTGAAAGTACAGGAGCGTTCATGTTATATTTTTAAGGCATAATTTGACGCTCGTACGGTAAGGATATGCTGCTATCAAATATATTTTGTATGTACGTGCATACAAAAAAAGTTCGAAAAGCCATACAAAGTACCAATTAGCATGATATAAATAAAGAAGAAGAAAGCTTTATGGTTATAACATTCTTTGCTTTCCCAATGTAGTGGAAAATTATAATAAAAAAATAGCACGTGTATTTGACAGTGACATTTTTATTTCTGACGTTTTGATTAGGATAAAAACAAGTAGAGCCTAGCAGTGCGTTTTAAGTTTTTTATTTAAAGTATTAATTAATTGAGTAATAGATTAGAAAATCCTTCATTCATAAGTGTGCAGGAATTATTCTTATCACCTCAGTAAACAAAAAATGGCTAAATTCAAACTAAGTAAGTTCTATCAGGTTGTATTTTTTAGGTTAGAAATTAGTTCTAAAATCCTCTGCCGCTTTTTATGAAGAGTACATTTGTTACGTTAGGTATTTAATTAGTGAAATTTTAATACTTACAGAAAAACCATCGAAACGGCAGCCTGCAAGACTTCGTTATAAAATAGAGAAAAAAGTTAGAGATCATAATAAAAAGCTCAAAAAAGAAGCAAAGAAGAATCCCAAATCAAAGAAACCTAAAGCTCTAGTTGTTCCAAATGTCTGCCCTTTCAAAGAAGATATTTTAAAAGAAGTAGAAGCAGTTAAGAAGCACAAAGAAGAGGAAAGACAAAAGAGAAAAGAAATTGCTAAACTAGAAAGACAGAAAAAAATAGAAGAAAAGAAAAATAGCAAAATCAGTATGGACACCCTGGTAATTTCATAACCCATATTTTTTCTCAGAATAGCTTTCTATTTTTTTCACTTTACTTTAAAATATTTTAGTAAAGTCTCAGAACTTATAAAACACGCATGTCAGTATGAATTGTTTAGCATCATATTTCACATCAAATTAAAGATTTTATTTAGTCTTTTAATTTATTTTATATTTGCTTTGCTTATTAAATAGCTTTATTACAAGTGGTAGAATAAATAATTAGGTAGAAGGATATACTGTACTTCCAGGGCCCAAAAGTAATAACTTCACAGTTTTGTTGGTTGTAATTTCGCATTTTTGTTGTTAAAAAGGTTTCTGTTAACCACATTATTAAAAAAAATGTCACACTTATGCACTGGTAGTTTTTTAGAAAAAAATTTTTACTTTTCTTATCAAGTGGTGATACTTCACACTAGGTTAGGTTAGGTTAGTGTTGTGACCATAACACGCGAGCCGAGCGAGCAAAGCGAGCGTGCCGCGGCAGCGGCCGGCGAAGCGCCAGAAAAAAAAACTGTTAAAAAGACCTTTTCTACAAAAAAAACAAGTATCACCTTTTGGGCCCTGGAAGTACAGTTTTACCTGGTAGAAGATACATTGAGTGTGACTTCCCATGGAAACCTCCATAAATATGTAGAGGGTGGTACCTGTATATTCTTTATTTATAGCAGTAATATATTATTATTGTTGTTTCTTGCCTTACAAAATCATGAAAATTATGTTTAAAATGAGTAATTACAGAAATTATAACAATAAGCCTTGATTTGGACTAAAAAATGAGGGCAATTTTGTATGATTTTCTTTTCTGCTAATTTTCTAATATTCTTTTATATTATGTAAAACTATTAAATATTAGTATTTGCCTGAATTTAGTTGATCTGTAATCACACATATTATGCCTCTAAAAATGAATAATTTGATTTTTTTATCAATTTTAGAATACACATAATAATATGACACTCGGTCTAGATCATTCAGTAGCGAGTATTTGTGTTATAAATTAAGGAGGGAATGCCTAAATGTCACTTGCATCATGTAGAAAAAAAATAGTGACAGTCGAAAGCGCTATAGAAGCAAACAGCAGCATATAAGTTTACATCTTAATGTAAATTTTCTGCCAGCAATTCTAAACTTACTAGAAATTGCTGGGAAATTACACTTTTAATTTTAAAACTGATTTGAAAAATTTGATAGTTTCGGATAAGCTGACATGCTGTTGACTGTGCTATTGATAGACTTATTTCACCATGTACTTTTCAGAATGCAGCAAAATCACATTGTTCAAATTCATTTTATATTATTTATTTTAAACAAGTAGTTTTACCAATTTCTAGGTAGCAAATGCAGAAGCAAGAGGAAAGGTCCATGAAGTATTCAAAGGTGTTGCTAATGGTAATGATGATGTGGAATTCGGCAAGGATAGAAATCAAGAAAATTCACTAAAAACTTATCATAGAGAGTTTAAAAAAGTTATATCAGAAGCAGAAGTGATCTTGGAAGTTGTTGATGCCAGAGATCCACTAGGTTTGTTTTTTGTAAATTATATAGTGATTTGCTCAAGTAGCCATACTGTATTTCCTTATCATGCTTTAAAACGAATGAAAAGGACAGTCCGATGTCAAATTTACAAGTAGCAAACACAAATACCCAAGTGAAGTGCTGACGTCAGCTTTGTGTGTTTCATAGGTTAAAAGGAATAAATAATATATTGATCATTTTATATAGGTATTCATAATTCTGTACTTAATTAAACCATAATTAAGTTACTACAATAGAATATTTCTAACAGGAACTAGATGTGTGCAAGTAGAAGAGGCAGTCAGAGAAGCAGGCAAACGTCTTGTCCTCGTCCTGAACAAAGCTGATTTGGTACCGCGCGATAACCTAACAACATGGTTGAAGTACTTACGTCGGTCCGCTCCGGCGGTGCCATTCAAAGCTTCTACTCAAGATCAGCAGCATAATTTAGGTAGAAGGAAAATGAAGCACATAGTTAAGGAAAAAGAGATGAAAGGTAAAATGATCAAAATATTGTACAATTTTACATTTCAATAAATAATTTAACTGCTTTAAACATAATAAAAAACATGTAAATTGTAAACAGGAAATTAATTTGAATTGCTGCTTTTGTGGGTTTATCTCTAATCAGTATTTACAATAAGCAGATATTATTTCTTTATTTAAAAAGAAGTTGCCTTAAAAGCATTATTTATCTATCATTAATATTATTATTGCATTAAACATTAAAATAAGTTGCCTCAAAATCATTAGTTATTATTTAAACTGTATGACACAGCAATCTTAAATGTGAGCCGATGTTGTGTTGGTAGCAACATGATTTTACGTAAATGTTGCTACTTCTGTGAAATGCGAGTTTCTTGCGCCCATTCTTCAGCATCAGCTGAAAGATGTCCTGTATCTGTGGTGGGAAAAATATTGGACGATTCAAAAGAGGTTGAAACCTCTCATAAGTAAATTTTATTTTATTTCATATCACTTTCAGGTTCAGCTTGCGTAGGTGCAGAGTTGTTAATGAGCCTTCTAGGTAACTACTGCCGTAATAAAGGCATCAAAACGTCCATCACAGTGGGTGTTGTTGGTTTACCGAATGTTGGAAAGAGTTCCATCATCAACAGCCTCAACAGATCCAAGGCTTGCAATGTGGGCAGTACTCCAGGTGTTACTAAGTGAGTATAGTATAGTTTTCTACTTTTTGCTACAACAAAAGTTTTTGTTAACATTGGTTTTGTTTATATTCATAACTACTTATTGTACTTAAAATATGGGTATGTATTTTATTAATTAATTTGAATATTATATTTTTAGCAACATCGATTCTGATATGATTCTCTACATATTTGTTTCTTAGGTTTTCACACACATCACTCATTAAATAAAACTAGTTTTTTACGGGTTAATGCACGAAACTTTATTTATTTATTGACGTTTCGTAGCCTTTACAGGCTTTAATCAAATTTTATTTAAATAAAATTTGATTCTGACGACGTAGCCTGTAAAGGCTACGAAACGTCAATATTTAATGATTCTCTACACTTAAAACTGGAAATATCAGTCTGTTGTTGTTTGGTATGCTGTCTACATAAATTGTTTCATACCTAATTTAAAGCATGCTGTGGCAACTAAAGTCTCTTAGTTCCACTTTAGTATAATTCTCCTTATTAGCTCATTGTATTGTAACTGTTACTGAGTGTACTTAAAAGTGTGATTTCACTTATATTATAAAGGCAAAAGTTTGTGAGTGTGTATGTTTGTTACTTCTTCACGTCTAAACGGCTGGAGCGATTTTAATAAAATTTGGTATGGAGTCACACTGGATTAACACATAGGCTACGTTTTACTACGGGAAAATATCCCTAATAAACTGGGGGTAACACCGCAGGGCACAGGTAAATTACCAGTTTTATTACCTGAGGTAATAAAACTGAAAACAAAAGTTATATAGTCTTCAATGAACCAATGGCAGTTCATTAGTTTTGTATACTGGCATCAACATTAATAACCATTCTCCACTATGTTTAATTTCCCAGACAAATGCAAACCGTCCAACTGGACTCCAAAATCAAGATCTTAGACAGTCCCGGAATAGTATTTCACTCGGGCTCTGATTCGGATGCATCTGTAGCGCTAAAGAATGCGATAAGAGTGGGAAGTCTTAAGGATCCGGTGTCACCTGCCTCGGCTATATTGCAAAGGGCTAACAAGCAAACTTTGATCGATTTGTATGCAGTTCCCGAGTTCAATACCCCACAGGTTAGTCAGGAATGCTAATTTTTCATATTTAAGTAGATATAAGATTTCATCATCAGCCTTTTATGTCCTCACTGCCGGGGCACAGACATTCCCAATGGATGGAATAGGGAGATTGGGCCATGACCCACCACGCGGGCGGATTGGATGCAGCCGAGACCAACGGCTTAACGTGCCTTCCGAGGCACGGAGGAACTCGAGATAGAACATTTCTTGGTCACCCATCCAATGGCCGACCACTGCGAAAGTTGCTTATCTTCAACAGCCGAACGCGCTAAGCATCTGCGCCATCGAGCTCCATCGAGATATAAGATTTGATTTTTACAAATCTAAAGAAACTTAATATTAGATGAAATTCCAGTTTCAGACAGGATTCGAATACGCACCTTCCGCAATCCGGGCTGACGCACATACCAATTATTATGTTACGGAGACCTTAATGGCTGTGTCGAATTTCTCCTAGTATTTTTAAGGCTGCAAGGCAAAGCTAGCTCTTCGCATTTTATAAATGCTTAAATTTTATAAACCCACAATGTCAAATGAAATAACTTGTATTACTCATTTGAAAAAAGAAATAGCTGGATAGCTATTTCTTACAAAACCGGTACCCGTAACCTTCGGCACTCAGAAATAACAAAATGAAATCGTAAGCGAATAGCCTTTTAGGCGATTGGCCCTCTGGTTGAAATTTACAGCTTTACCGGCATCGTTTTGACGTTGAAGACATCGCCGTCGTCGTGTTGTTGAAGACTCGAAATTAACTTACTTTTTTTTTAAACAATGTTAGTAACAGTCTCTTGAGTGTGACCGTTACATTCAATTCTGTAGCCATATTCCATTTTTTTGGCGTGCAAAAATTATGTTCACAACAAAATGAAAGCCTTATACTGTCTCCAAGGCGATTTAATGGTTTAGGCGTGAAAGCATAGCAAACAAACTCATGCCTCAATTACATTGGTCGTAAGCCAGTATTCGGGTACACGAACGACATAACTCGAATTCGGCCACCTGAAGCAATATTTACAATGGAATACGGATAGAAAGACGGTGTCGGGTAACCAATACAAAAACTACCGGAATACAAGCGTTCTCGACTCCGTTCGTTTACACTTTGTCGGGTACCCGAATTCTATTGGTATTCGTATTCAGGCTAACGACCAAGTGTAATCGCCAACGATATTAAATAAAATAAATAAATATTTCCAACACTCACACCAATTAGCCTAGCCCCAAAGTAAGCACTGTAAGGCTTGTGTTATGGGATATTAGGTTAACGGATAGAATACATATACTGTACATGTATAAGTATATTTATATAGAAATACATATTGAACATCCATGACTGGAGTACAAATGCTCGTATTCATCACACAAACATCTACCCCCACCGGGATTCCAACCCGGGACCTCTCGAGTAGGCGACACCATGAAACCCGGCGTACAAACCACTCGATCACGGAGGTCGTCAATACACCAACACGAACAAAATCATGCCCGAAACCTGTCCAAAAGGTACATTGGACGATCCACGGAGCTTCGTAAGATACTCGCGTAGTCTAAACAATATAAGGCATTATTTAAACATTGAAAATCACCTTTAAAGCAAACTATATAAGGTCTTAATTAAAACGCATGCGTCAAAGAGTCATGACTGTCCGAGATGTAAGCTCGTAAAATTTTATGACTTATTGCTGTATGCGAAAGAATTTACACCTTATTTCTTTGAATCTACGCAATTCTGAATGCGCTGTTAGCAATATAGCAGGTACGGATCGCCAGGAAAAGAGACGACTATATTACCAACCATGCATATGAATATCACATTTTTTTCTATTAAATCAATTTACTGTAACTATTAAAACAAAGTTTGCTTCAAATGCGTTAAAATACCTGTCCAAAAAACTACTTTTTATATACTGTAAGTATTTATTTCGCATTTTTTAATGGAGCTCAACGGCATTATGGACACGACTCAGGCACTTCTTGGTTCACAGTCACGCGCGGACCGTTGAAAAGTAGTGTTTAAGCACTATTTCATAGGAAACCATTTTGGTATTCTCGGGTATTTAATATCGTGCCATACATTTCGCATTTATAATATTATATTAGGATTGAGAACTGTAAAATGTGAATGTTGTTTTAAGTTGATGAACATCTTGTTTTAGGAATTCTTCGCCAGTCTAGCGTCCCGTATGGGTAGATTCAAGAAAGGCGGTGTGCCAGACCAGGAAGCTGCAGCCAGGATATTACTCAACGATTGGAACACTGGAAAAGTAAATATGCTTACCTCTCATCTCTCTTTCTTTTCTAATGCATCCTTTCTTACAAAGATCAGTGTCCTTAGCACGAACCAATATAGAATTCGAATAGTTTGAGAGTCCGAAATGTCACTGTCAAATATGTACTGATTTTTAGTTCTCGTTGCGTCTGTTGTGGCCATGGAGGTTAGAGAGAAGGAGATCGATCGCTGCAGTAAAATTGTGTCCCAGAAATATGGAGAAAATAAGTGAGACGCTGCGATCGCTAAGTTGTCTCAATAAAAGCGGGCTAATATCAAATGATCAATGCCGCGAAACAATTTTGTACATTATTCAACTAACTTCAACTACTTGTACTCATAAACATTTAACTTCACAGATACTACTTACTGACGGCAGCGCGGCTGGTGGCTGAAAAATGAGTTATAATTTCCTCAAATTTTCAGGGACAGGCGGGCTAATGCTTTAGCACGTAGCGATCGTTCTCCTTCTCTCTAACCTCCATGGTTGTGGCGCTGTTGTTCAAGTTTCCATACAAAATTTGAAAATGACATTTCGGACTCGCAGACTATTCGGATTCGATATTGGGTCGTGCTAAGGGGACAAGCCAAATGTGTGCTGACTTTTAGTTCTTGTTACTTTTGTTGTGGCGCTGCTGTTCAAGTTTCCATATAAAATTTGACAATGACATTTCAGACTCAGAAACTATTCCAATTCGATATTGGTTCATGCTAAGGGTACAATACCCTTAGCACGGACTAATATCGAATTACCCCTCGTTTACACCAAGGTATAATACATGTATATAACAAATTTTATACAAAGTCTTAATTTTTACACTTATATACGTATATAAAATATGTAGTATACAATACTTAGATCAAACTTATTGGATACTCAAAATATGTGAAGTAAATAGTGATTTATATTTGTAAACATACTCGTTGTCTCTACCATGTAAATGAAAAAATGTCATAACAATTATTCTACAAATTTTCTGCAAAACTAGTATATGACTTGTTTCTTGGTGTGAACGAGGGGGAGAAATTAGAATATGGATGTGATCGATATGCATACCCGTCAAATGTCAAGAAATTTTATATGGAACGTTTTTAATACTCGTTCTGTCATACGCGACTACTGTAAGGCTCGTTCGTTTTTATTATATTGTTTTTGTACAGGTGAGGTATTACACGGAACCTCCAGAGACCCCCGACTCCGAAGTCCACGTGGATGCGAAGATCGTCAGCGCTGTCGCTAAAGAATTCGACATCAATTCATTCGAGACCATGGAGACTGAGGCTATCAATATGCTCGCTTCGAATACCACTGATGCGGATCCAATCAAGGTATTAGGTATATCTTTATCATATCCATAATAGGGGTGACGACGGGATGAAGAAAACGAAATTCTATTTAGTCCGTCAGTTAGATTTTCAAAAAATAATGGACACGTATTTTTTCTTTGGCCAATCAACCAAAAAATGACAATGATGAAGCGCGTCAAAGTTTGGTAGTGGGGGCCCGTGACGTCACTTTTAAGTAAAAATGTACCCGAACGTGACGTCATGCGACATTTCAAATCAATATATCTCTCTAATGTTATGCTTATGTGAAAAAAGAAAAAAATACGTGTCCAATAACTTTTGATAATCTACTCGATAAACGAAGAAAAAACAGTTAGTCGTCATCCCTACTATAAATGAGGAGCTGGCGAACAAAACGGTATAATTACGCATCTGGTAAAACTACTTTCTTTTTACAGTCCGGACGTATTGGGCCCACTGAATTTGAATTTCAACTCATTTTCAATCAAAACCGCCTAAAACAGTGTTGTAATTACTAAAATTGTAAAAGAAATGTGCCACGCCCAAAAGCTCACTGTAGGTATGTCATACAGTTATTTACAGCTGTAAAATTTTATTTTATGTAATTATTTATACCGTTTTGTTGGCCCGCTCCTGAAATTTGAATGTGTACCCTTTTTCTATTTGTAAATTGAAACAAAAAGATACTTCAAAAAGAAAGGCAAGATACGGCACTCGCAGTTCAAAAGTGTATCGCTTAGATCAGTGGTTCTCAAACTTTTTAAATGACGGAACCCTTTTGGGAAGCAAAATACTTGATGGAACCCTACAATAAAACAATTATTTTTATAAGTGTATTCTATATTAATCAGCATAATAAAAGTACAATGTATCCGTTACTAATTATTATTTACTTCACCACTTGGTAAGGACAATAATAGAAAACATTAAAAAAGAAAAAATCTAACTAGTGGGAGGTATGAAACTGTTTTTTATTTTTCATCAATTGCTTGATATCAGGTTTGATGGAAGAAAGTTTGAGTCTCATATCAGCTTCGGCGTCCAGTCTATTGCGATATTTTGTTTTCGTGGCTGCGTAGGTAGAGAATCCTGTTTCGCACAAATATGTAGTTGGGAACGGGAGAAGAATATCCAGAGCCATTTGGCCAAGCATTGCATATTCATCTTGGATTCTGCACCAAAAATCATTAAGAGGCGTCGTTTTGAACAATGACTCCATACTTGTGTCTGATGACATTTCTAAAAGAGATTCATATATCTCATTTGACATGTTTTCAGGCTTTTCCAAGTTGGGTAAAAAAGGATTATGAATCCAGGAGTTCACTTTAATTTTTGTATTGTGTTCTTCGGGAAAATACTTTTCAAAAGATGCGCGCATCGAACTGAGATATTGGACCAATTCTTCAAACACATTATCTTCAAACATTTCTGAGTCGTTTTCGCTAACAAACTCAGTGAGTAACGTAAAACTTTCTATTTCTTTCTTACCAATGCAAATGATCCAAAAATCTAATTTTCTTTTAAAAGTAGTTATTTTATTATAGGCCTGAAACACTGTTGTCTGTTTACCTTGCAATGATAAATTTAATTCGTTAAGTTTTTGAAAGATATCCGCCATAAAAGACAATCGGAACAACCAAGTTTTATCATACAAACGGTCCTTCAAATTAAAAGAAGTATCTGCTGAAAGAAACATTTGTAACTCGGCTCTAAGTTCAAATAGCCTTGTTAAAGTTTTTCCCCGAGACAGCCATCGCACTTCTGTATGGAGCAGCAGTGTTTTATGTTTGCTGCCATAATCTTCACACAATAATGAGAACAATCGGGATTGTAGTGGTCGTGATTTGATAAAATTAATTATTTTTACCGCTTCATCCATAACTAATTTTAGATTAGACGGCATTTGCTTCATCGCAAGTGCTTGTCTATGCAGAATACAATGACTGGAACTACAATTAGGCGCTTTATTTTTCATTCGTGACACTGCTCCTGCTGTTTTACCTGTCATCGCCTTGGCCCCATCTGTACAAATGTCAATGCAATTGTTCCAACTGAGATTATGTTCTTCAAAAAATATATTTATTTTATTAAAAATTTCTTCCCCGGTAGTGTTTGTAAGCAGCGATGAACACATAAGCATGTCTTCTTCAAAAGAACTTTTATATGGATATCTCACAATAACCAGCAGGATAGCCAAACCAGCGACATCAGTCGACTCGTCCATTTGCAAAGCGAATCGTGTATTTTGTAGACGTGTAACTAGTTCTTGTTTGACGTAGCTTGCCAGATCATGGATTCGTCGTGAAACAGTATCGTTTGATAGCGGAACAGTAGAAAGATGCTTTGCAGATTTTTCATCAAGCATACATTTTGTTATGTCTAATACACATGGTTTTATTAATTTCTCAGCGATAGTGTGCGCTTCACCTGCTTGTGCAATGCGATAGCTAACTAAGTATGATGCCTCCGTGGCCTTTTCGTTGGTAGTTTGTGTTACATGCATCATATTTTTTTGACTTTCTAATAACTGATCTTTTTTGCGAACAAAAAATTCTTTATTCTTGTCTTTAGTCTCGGGGTGTACGGTTTCTAAATGTCGACGCAATTTGGCAGGTGCCATGGAACTATTAGGAAGCAGTTTACTACAGAGCATGCAGAGAGGTGAGCCGTTGGAATCAACAAATCCGAAACTGATATAAGATTCATCATACTTCCTTTTTTTCGTCTTTGAAACCGTCGAGCTTGACGTCGTGGCACTCGTGGCATCATCTTCTGGATCGGTGATTGCTAAATTCTCCGCGCGCATTGCTTTTGAACATTCAGCGTCATTAGAAGATGTTGTTGGAACACGTTTAACACCTTTAAGCCAACGTTCCATTCTTCTTTATTTATAATGTTACAAGTCAGGATAGTGGGGTTTAAATAATGCACAATCGTTACTGCGTATAAGAGACTAAATTTAGAACCTACAGGGAAGAAATGTATAAAACTGAGACAACAGAATACAGCAGGCAGTAAAACAATGAACACCAGTTTCTCGCTAGCGAGCTTGTAAGTAGGTAGTAACTTATCGCTCCGAACGCTAATCATCAACTGACGACGCCAACGCGCGATCGCCGCTTTTATACTTAGTCCTAGACTCGATCTCAAATATTCTCGAAAATACTCGAGTCGGCACCTTTGATAAACAAAAAGCAAAAATAAAAACAGAAATTTAAAAATAGCGTTGTAAACAATATCGACTTTATCCTTTGAAGTTAGAGACGAAAGTCGCTAGTTGACAACTATAGCGTCTAATTCAGAGGCGGCTTTTATCAAAGAGACTGAGCGCTTACAAGTATACTACCCGCTCGTTTTAAGTTTGCCGCTGGCGATAGATATGAGTGTATGACGTTCGAAATTTTTTATTTAATTGTAACAATAAAAATTGTGTACGTTAGATATTTGGGTAAAACTATGACACATTATAAGTTTTGTTGTCACGTGGGGGAGGGTACGCGCATTCCACAGACCGGCAAACTTAGAGCGAACGCGTTGTACAAGTATAAAATTGTTGAGACCAAACTTATGAGATATTGTACCAGCTAATGTAACACAAGCTTATACAAATACAAATAAATAAATAAATAACATTCATAGCGTTTTGTCTCCGCGCGGCCGCGGAGTCCGCACAGCCGCGGAGCGACCAGAGAGAGGTGTTTTGATTTTTTTATTTCTAAATTCTTGCGGAACCCCGACAGAGGTATCACGGAACCCTAGGGTTCCGCGGAACACACTTAGAGTATAGCTGGCTTAGATTGTGGTGCATGACCACAATTCGCTTTAGTCACAATTGGACATTCAAACACGCTGCATTACACTCAAAATAACAATATTGTGAATATTATGTTTTATAAATATAAAACAATGCGTTCGATGCTTTTAATAAAGAACACAAATAGTTTTAGATCAAATAACAAATTCCACAGCCACACTTCTCATTCATAAAATTATAAAAACATTGTTTTCTTAAAAACCACAGTTTGTCATGAATGTTATTTGCTTATTCGCCATTTGTTACTAAGAAAAAGACAACAATACAGCTCAGCCGTCTGTAGAGAGAGAGAGAGAGAAAAGAAAACGCAGTCACCACGCCAAGCGACGCGGACTCGCCGTTTCGTTCGCGCTGCTTTAAAGCGTACAGTACCCTTAGCACGACCCAATATCGAATTCGAATAGTTTGCGAGTGCGAAATGTCATTGTCAAATGTGTATTGATTTTTAGTTCGCGCTGATGTTCAAGTTTCCATACAAAATTTGACAATGACATTTCGGACTCGCAAACTATTTGAATTCGATATTGGTTTATGCTAAGGGTACAGTTCTATCTCGCTCGCTCGATTGCATGTTTATTTACAGAAGTGTGCGTGTGTGAGAGTTGCTTATATAGTTGAGTCGGATCATATTTTATTTAATGCTAGTATCAGCGTACCGTATCTTCGCTTTTAGTTTTAATCTAAGAGCTAGGTAGGAAAATGACTACCCCACCTTATGTCAAGTGGTAGCAAAGCCCAGACGGAAGGTCCAGCAGTAATAAGCTGCCACACCAACCATTCTAACCTTGCCTGCCAGCAGAAATGCTTCTTCACACCTCTTGCAAAGTACCCCAGATTTTAAGAAGGAGGGAACACTGTTGTTTACCTCTTCACACTTAAAAACGGAACCGATTTTTAGCAAGTTTGGTATAGATATGGTTTGAGTCCCGGGTAAATGCCCACGCGTGGCTTAGCTATGGGGTAATCTTGTGGGGGAGCAGTATTGATAGTGCCACCTTATTTACAGCTCAAAACTCATTCGTATACTTGCGGACATAGAGCAAACGGACAGTTGTAATCCATATTTAAAAAAAAAATCGAGATTCTTACTTTGCCCTGTATTTACATTTTAGAGATTTGTAAATTTAGTCGTAAACATCCAAATTATTTTAAAAAGCGAAATGATACATCATCACCGTACACATCACGACATAGACATAAACTATTTATACCAACTACAAAGCTTAAAATGAACTTATCTGGTCCACTTCTAATGGCTGTCAAAATTCACAACAAATTACCTAAAACGTTAGTTGAAGAAAGCGTTGATAATATATTCATTGGAAAAATTAAAAAGCATAGCTATTTGATATTAAGCAAATGTTATTACACGGTTAAGGAATTTTTAGAAGATAATGATTTAAATTAATGATATTTAAAAAGCTTTTATTATTTTTACTTTAAATGACATTTTTTATTTTTATTTCATTTAATTTGTATATCATAAAATTTAATACAACTTAACACAATATGCTGTACAATATGACATAGATAATAAACCAAATAATATAATATATTGAACTAATATTATTGAATAATGTTGATATTAATACATTTTAATTTGTTAGGTAAAAAGATGATTGTATTTTAAGAAATAAAGTGTATACGCATTGTATTAACTAAATTACAATTTGTGAATGCGTCCTCTTCTCTATTTGCTGTGCCCTGTTTAGGGTCTACAATGATCAAAGCAATATACCTACTAAGATCTAAGAAAACATTGTAGAACGCAATAAAGTATTGATTGATTGATAAAGACATTGGATAGTTTTATCCCAGAAATCAAGTTCCTATGGTTTCCAATTATTCCATGTTGAGGAAGTTGTGGATACCAGCTAGTCATTTATCATCATCAGGTTATTAATGTCCCCACTTATGGGACACAGGCCTCTCGTATGGATGGAATACCTACCACGCGGGCTCAGTACCCTTAGTACGAGTTTTACAATTACGAAAACTATGATAGTTTTCGTGAGCTTGCACTCGTACTAAGGGTACTGATTTTATTGTTTTCGTTTCAATACAAATAAACAGTGTTTAAATTCTATGATTAAATCGTTTGCGTCTTCTTAAATTTTAAGAATATTTGGTTACTTTTCACCAAAATGGACATAGAAACATAATTTACAATTGCGAAAACTATGATAGTTTTCGTGAGCTCAAACTCGTACTAAGGGTACAGTGCGGATTGGTGGGTGCTAACGACTGCAGATGCAGCGGGCCAACGTCTTAGTTATAATGTGCCTTCCGAAGCACGGAGGAGCTCGAGATAATAAATTTTTGCTCACTCATCCAATGATCGACCATTGTGAATGTTGCTTAACTTCCACGATCGCAGATCGATTGCGCTAACCGTTTACGCAATGAGCTAGTTAAGGTATTTCTATCTAAAGGATATTTTTTTACAAGCTTTAATTGGATTTTGTTTTCCACCTGTCTGTCTGAGAGAAATCTTGAGATCGAAATTTCGCCCGCTTCCCGGTTACTCGGGCAAAGTGAATTCGGCCCAGTTATTGGGCTGGAATCGAACCTATGTCCTTGCCTTAAATTTTCCGAATTAATGCCCTATTTGCAAAAAGGCATATTTGCTTACAGTTTTTGACAGGTGCAAATGATGATCACCGCGTTATTTACCAATCCACTACTGCTTTATTATAATACCACCAAGATACTTGTCCTGAAAAGCATCGATGGATATGCAATTAGGGTATGCATCGATGGATATGTAATTGTCATAAAAGTTAGCGAATAGGCCTAATGACCGTTAAACTTAATCCTACCGATAAATTAACGGATGTCGAATTTCTTATTTAAAAGAAATATTCCATAAACCTTAAAAATACTTGTAGAAAAAAAACATCTTTTTTTTATAGCCAGGTAGGCAAATGACTACCCCACCTGAAGTTAAGTGGTTATAAAGTCCAAACGCGATAGCTGGTACAGCACTTATAAGCTGCTACACCAACTATTTTGCAACAAAGTCACATATATGTATTGTATATGGCTATAAAACCATGTAGTTATTACAAATGTACCTATCAATAATGTAAGTAGCATCATAAAAAATGTATTAAAAAAAATGTAACTAGTACACGCGAGATTTTCCGATAAGTAACGCGTGTGTAAATGGATATAGGTAATTGCATTTTTTCCGTATTTTTATACTAAACCATTGAAATGGGACATCCTTGAAATGACACTTAGGTCGTTAGTCAAAATTAATATTTCACTATATTCATGCATGGCAAGGTTATACAGTAACATAGCATTGAGCCGCCAATCTTTCAGTATTATCCATTGGTTTGATTTTATTTACAGAAACAATAAAATTTAATAGTTCTCTTTAAGGACAACGCCAAAAAATTATTTTATTCTGTTTTAATTTATGATTTTTTTTTGTTCTATTCTTCCCTATTGGGAAAGGCAAAGCCAAAGCCATGCAACCATCGTATTATTTTTTTATTAATCTTCCTTTTTTAGAGTGTGGCCGTGACGCATTCTAATGTTTCTTGGAGTGTTTGGCGTAAAATGTATCGAGTCAGCTTTCTCGCCAAGCTTCTGTGAGGTAGTAAACACTACAATAAAGTTCTCACGTCCACTTGACCGGTTAGCGTATATTTTAAAGATTCCACTATATCTTCAGTTGCCCAGGCGGTTGTAACACAAAATCACACCAATCTTATTTCACAATATCCACTATGAACGAATTTAAGAATAATTAAAATACTCGTAAGACGCCATCCGCACTCGATGAAATCCCGCCAAAAACTCCCCTCATTGTTCAATTTCAATATAATTAAAAAAAAAACGAAACAATTACATTAAATTAAATAATAATAGTGTAAAAACAATACATTAAGCTAGAGGAGCTCGATGGCGTAAGTGGTTGGCGCGTTCGGCTGCGATCGTTGAACTTAAGCAACTTTCGCAGTGGTCGGTCATTGGATGGGTGACCAAAAATTACTATCTCGAGCTCCTGCCTGCTTCGGAAGGCACGTTAAGCCGTTGGTCCCGGCTGCATCTGCAGTCGTTAGCACCCACCAATCCGCACTGGGCCCGCGTGGTGGGTCATGGCCCAATCACCGTATTCCATCCACCGGGAAGGCCTGTGCCCCAGCAGTGGGGACATTAATAGGCTGATGATGATGATGAATACATTGAAAAATACACACATTTGACATGTCTTGTTTTTTTTTTAATAATTGATATGGATCTCGTGTCTGAAATAAATGCTTTTATTATTATTATTAAAAAGGTCAACGCATCTGAAGGTTAGATTTTATAGTAAAAACTGATTTAGCGTAAAATGTTTTATTTCCACAGATAAACAGCACGGGGCCTGTGTCCATCGACAACAGTATGCAGGTTGATGAAGATGAGTCCGGAATACTCCCTAAAGCATTGAACATAAGGTCCAAATTAGATAAGAGCAACAAATCTAATGAGCGCATCAAATCTGATCCCGAAATGTTGATAGAAGGCAACACCAAGCAGAATAAACTGAGGAAGATGCAATTCAAGAAGGATAAAAAGCAGAAAGCTAGAACAGAGAAGCAAGCCACTAATCTTGCTGGAGTACTAGAAAATGTCACTTTAACAACTTACAAAAAGAAGGACGACTACGATTTCAAAGAAGATTTTTCGCTTTAGTATTTCGCTAACTTTCATTGTATTGTTCTGTCAATAATACATTTTTATATGTATTATTTTTTTATTGTCAAAGTGAATGGAAGTGTTGAAGCTGATTGCTTAAGATATCGTTATCGTTAACACTTAACAATTCTCAAAGTTATTTCCTTTGATGATGTTGAAAAACATAAATACAATAAATGTATTATTTATATAATTGTATCATCTTTATTCTCATATTATTTCCACCTTTACACTTAATAATGAAAGTAGAAAAATATTATAGAGATCTTCAAACTGCATGCATTTTTACGCGACTGCCAAAAAAAGAAGTTCAATAAAATCATTGCATTAGGGGAAATTCGTAGATCAAAGAGTGTTCCGCCGAACGGTTCCCTGACTGCCATGACTTTGGAACTGCTTTGAGCCTTCATTATTATCGGCCTATTAATGTCTCCACTGCTGAGCCACAGGCCTTTCCTATGGATAGAGATTGCGCCATGACCCACCACGTGGGCCCTGTTTCAATTAGTGGGTGCTAACGATTGCAGATGCAGCCGGGACCAACGGCTTAACGTGCCTTCCCAAACATGGTGGAGCTAGAGATAATAAGTTTTTGGGCACCCATACAATGACCGGCCACTGCGAAAGTTGCTTAACTACCACGATTGCAAGTCCAATGCGACATCGAGCTCCTCTATCTGTCCATTGATATTTATAATCAAGCGGGCCATATGCTTGTTTACCACGCCTTTTACACAATTTGGCGTTGGTATGATGTTTAGTATATTGTAATGCTTAAATCTTAAAAAAAAAATTACTAAAAAAAATCCACGCAGACGGGACTCGAACCCGCACCCTTCGCTATCCGGGTGAATGCACTGACCATTATGCTACCGCGGCCCTGACGGCCACGTCGAATTTTCTCTAGCCTTACATTGCTAGGCGGCACCATCTCTTCGCATTGTAAGTAACCCACAATGTCAAAATGAATACCTTTACAAGTATTAAACATTTGAAAGAAGAAATAGCAATTATAGTTATGTTTTTTATTTTTTAAGCATTTAATTGCTAGATGTTTAAATCTTAAGAAAAGTTTACTAGAAAAAAATCCACAGTTAGTTCCGTCTGCTGCCTGGTCCGCGTGGAATTTTTTCTAGTAAACTTTTCTCAAGATTTAAACATCTAGCAGTTAAATGCTTACATAACAAAAACATAATTATTGTAATGCTGGTTAAATATTGCGTTTCTCAATAGGGTTTCTCTGCGTCCGGACTTCTCCAAATTTAGAGGGCGTCTATCCGGCGAAATAAAAGTGTGTCGTCACCTCACCACTCTAAACAGTTTATTTGTAACGATAAACTTTAAGTCCCAAACAGGCTGTAAAATAATGAAGAAAACTAAAATTAATTTGTGTTTTTTCTTCTGTTTCGTTTTTTTTGGACGATGGCAGACCTACGCATTACCCTTAGTACGAGTTTGAGCTCACGAAAAGTATCATAGTTTTCGTAATTGTAAATTATGTTTCTATGTCGATTTTGGTGAAAATTAACCAAATATACTTAAAATTTACGAAGATGCAATGCAATTTAATGATATAAATTAAACACTGTTTATTTGTATTGAAACGAAAACAATAAAATCATTACCCTTAGTACGAGTGCGAGAATTGTAAAACTCGTACTAAGGGTACAGGGATATTAGTAATACGCATGATACCGTTCTTTAAATTCGAAACTACGGAGTTTATCCTCCATTTTCGGAACCGTACAATTAGTATCCGATACTTACGGATTTCCTCAGCGGTGTTATTATTCGGCATTAATTGCATAGGTGCATAAGTTATCTGCAATGCATTTGTTTTTTAAATGAAGTTAACAGTGATAAAAACCTGTTAGTTATCGCTAAATAGGCACTGTAGGTACATTTTTGTGCCCCACTGAGCAATGAAATGTGTTATGCATCCGCTCGCTTAGCCGAGACTTATGACATGATGAGTCTCCGTCGAGTTAGAATTCTGGAAAATCTAGAACAACCTTTCTTGGTGATTTGTTTATAATCGTCAAAGAGTTAATGTTTAAATAATTAAATATTTCTAACACACTAGCCTTAAGGTAAGCACCTTAAGAGCGGACGCAAGCTGAGAGACATTTGAGAAATAGTTGAAATGATTTGAAAAAACTATTGCTGTCACGCAGTGGCAAATACCGTTCGATAGGGACAACTGTAGTTAACGTTGAAAATGACTATCATTACTAGGTCAGCAAATTAACTCAAAATCAACAGTATAATAATGTAATAACATTTTTAATTAATATATTTTTGAAACATGTCACGTCACAGAGCTCCATTGTGGTTCACTCCGGTCGAATTTCAGTAGCATCTTTACGCACGCTCGCGCCCGAGCGCTAGAGCTCTATGACGTCACAGCCACCACACGGCCAGCCGAAAATTCGTTTAGTAATTTAGTCATAACTTTGCCAATATTTGTCGTAGAACAAAAATTTAATCACTGTATTTTATGGAATCTTTAGCTCTATAAATCTGCATTCTTAACTAAAATCGTTACGGAATCTCATTGCGTATAAAAATTGCAAAATTCGAGGTTTGGCTCTCGACGGTTTCCCCCTCGAAAATTAGATAATGTAAAATATTTTTTACACGAAGTACATATAATAAGAAGTTATACTATGCCTCTATGTTTTGCTTTTTTTTGTAAGCCTATGCATCAATGTTTTGCTTTTTTCAGAGATAACATTTATTTTTGTAAGTAGATATGGATTTTCCAATAACAAATGTTTATTCAAACCTCGTGCTGATAAACACGAACTCGTGTAGCCTTGGTCATACCTATATTATTAAATCTCCACACTGGACATCTTTTTAGTCGTGATACAAATTTGTTTATTTTAGGCCTTTTTCGTGGGCTCCTAGTTTCTCAGAAACACAAGTCCTCGAAAAAAGGCAGACAGGAGCCTAGAATAAGTAAAATTATATATTATGTATAAAATCAATACATTGGTAATAAAAATCAAGGTAGAATCAGTCGAGGACGTTTGTATGGAAAAAACATTGCCCGCCTTCCCTCTAGTCTTAAAAAGTCTTAAGTCTTGTGTTATGGGATACTAGGGACAGATTCATAGAACACTATTTACCCCACCGGGATTCAACCGGGACCTCTGAGTAGACAACTACGACACATTGAGAAGCGGCATCCACTGCCGGATTTAGGGTAGGGCCTCCACAAACGGGGGGCCCCCACAATAGAGACTTCGGAAAAAAAATCTTTTAAATTCCAACTAGTAAACATCTTTTCCTTTGATTTTTTTTTTGCTCTTTTACCTTTACCTACAGCCTACAGTACTTTGTACATCTAACATACATGATAATTCAGGGCCAAATTTAAGGCAGGGCAGATGGGGCTGTGGCACAAAGGCCTCCACAACAGCTTAAGAAATAACAACATTTCGATGGGTCAACAAGCGTGCAAAACCTAAGTGGCCCGGGGCCTCCACAACAGGATAAAAGATAACAAAATATCGATGGGTTAACAAGCATACAAATCGTAAGTGGCCCGGGGCCTCCACAATCCTAAATCCGGCCCTGCAGGCATCAACGATATTCCGGGGTCATACTCATACCACTCGAGCCACGGAGTTGCGACTTATGTTGGGGACTTTTAAATGACAACTATGGTAGGAGGGGGAAACTTTGTCAGTAATAAATAAATTATATTATACCTACATTATTAAGTTAAATTCCCAACAGAAAGATCCACACGTTATGAAGAAAGATCTTTGTTTGTGACATCTGTAACTTCCCCATTTGAAAGTTACTAATTTCCTAATTAAAGATATGACCAAGGCTACGAGTTCATATTTATCAGCACGAATGTGAATAAACATTTATTTTTGGAAAATCCATATCTACATAAATAAATGTTATCTCTTAAAAACTTCCTTCCCCTATTTCAACTACTGCCTACTTATTCAAAGTTTATTTTCCCGGAAAAAAGAAGCCCTTGTCCATCCATTTTGTTTAATTTTGATAAAAGAAAAAACCTCGTTCTTTTATCAAAATTAAACAAAAATGGTTCAGCAGCTTAGGCATAAAAGGCTAACATGTAAACGTACACAGTTCGTTACACGTATTAAAATATTATTATGGAAGTACCTATAGTCATTGATAAATGATTGTTCTCGCTTCACACGACTAGATCGGGTGCCGATCTCGGCGTAGTATTTGTTGCCACATTTGACAAGTACGCCGGCGGTATCTAGGCGAGCAAAGCGAGACCAATCATTTATCTATGCCTATAGTATGGATATTTGGTAACAAGCAGCGTACGTCATATCCATTTAAATAACCATTCAGACCTGAACAAAGCGAAGTTACTAGAATTCGAACCCACCACGAACCGCTACTCCATCGGTTCTCGGTATCGATCGACTTTGACAAAATATTTATCGATCACCACATTTACAACTGAATGAACGACCGATGGGACTGGGCCTCCGTCCTTGTTTATTTACTGACCTCATATCAACCAGACTTACTGGTTGGTCTAACAATGCCTTTCATGGTGGCGCTGATATGGAGATGATGAGAAGAGATGAGCTTATATGCGTTTAGAATAATCGATCCGTTTTTGAGATTTAAACTACCTATTTAATATATAGCAGCTGATGCATTTTAAGTTTTTATTTTGCTCCCAGATAAATTTATTGATATAAGTATTTACTTTTTTAAGCATAATGTTCAGTGAATTCGCCATTACATTAAATAAAAATTTTATGAAAGGGATTTGTATTATTCCCTGCTTGGTATGTAAAGTAGATAGGTATCTATTCATAACTTATTTATAGCTCCATTGCAAATATATGAAATAATATGGTATCTCAGTATGTATCCACCTATAGATATTTTTGCTGGTACTATAAATACATTATTTAAATCTCTTTGGATTGGGCATTGGACCCACCCAACATTTACTTTCAATAAAATGAAAGTGACATGTAGTTGGTACCTGTCTAATATTTCAAATTCAGTTCAAACTAGATAACATTTTTATGACCAATGTCGCGAGAGTAAAAGTACACGTCATTATTTAGATAATATCAATGGCTCATTCGTTAAATTATTAATACATTTTGCGGTACGCTTAATCACCGCTTTGGCGAATCCACGTACAAAACTACAAATTCACGTAATCAACGTAATATTGTATGCGCTATCCCTTTTCAACATGTAGGATGATAATATCTGCTTCTCTTTTTGATGAGGTGTAACGTTGACGGGCGCGAAAACTGAATTATATTGAGGTTAAATTTTAAACAGTAAAAGCCTTTCGATTCCAAACATAGTAAAACGAAAATACATCACAATCTTTTCACTTAATATTCAATGGTAGTTATACATGCTGCTTGAAATATATTGAACCGTAAACTAAATGTCTCCACATTAAACGTAAATACGCAAAACAATCTATAAAAAAATCATATTTACCGCCAGATAGTTCATTAGCTTCAGCTCGTGTGTTCGATTACCATTGGCTATTCAGTAACCAATAATAGCTTTCCATCTGTCTGGCGTAGTAAACGTCACACGTCAAAATTTTTATGTGCTGTCTCTTTTACACTAATACGAAATCGAAACCCAACATCATTTATCATCTCGCTCTTTACTTTATGTAGAGAAACATGGTTTTAGAAGTGTCTCTTTCTTTGTTATGGTAATGAGCAGAATATGAAAGGGATAAAAAATTTACGACATCAACAAACCGGTCGAAATAATAATTGGAAAATTGCCGCATTTCAAAGTTATTCGTGGCCAGTCTTCTGTCGGTGAGGGTTGTATTGTGAATCAAAATGAAGTCCCTAGTATTAGCAGTTGTCAGTTTATTGACAATTTATACAGTTAATTGTGAAGTGTTCTTCGAAGAGAAGTTCCCTGATGGTAAGTTTCCTACTTCTATTCAGAAAACCGAACTTCCTTGCTAGAAACCATGTTCGGCCGGCTTGCCGCGTGTGCTATCGATTGTCTACTTTGTAGAAGCCGGTTTATTTTCGGATATTTCTTATTAAATCGAGTTCCTTTATTCTTCCAGACTCTTGGGAATCAAATTGGGTGTACAGTGAACATCCCGGGAAGGAGTTCGGCAAGTTCAAGTTGACTGCTGGAAAATTCTACAACGATGCGGAAGAAGATAAAGGTGGGTGTACTCCCAAAATTTTGAAGTACAAAACCTCTAAATTGTCATTAGCTTTAAGTTAAAAGAAGTAAACGAGGTTATTCTACAAATATTCCTTCATCTGTTTGCAGGTCTGAAGACCTCGGAGGACGCCAGGTTCTATGCTCTATCGCGTAAATTTAAGCCATTCAGCAACGAAGGCAAGCCTTTAGTTGTGCAGTTCTCAGTCAAACATGAGCAGGAGATTGACTGCGGTGGTGGTTACCTGAAGGTATTCGACTGCAAGCTTGACCAGAAAGACATGCACGGAGAGTCCCCCTATGAGATCATGTTTGGCCCTGACATTTGCGGTCCAGGCACCAAGAAGGTGAGATCTATGTTCTAGAACTTTCTATCAATTAGAATGTGCCACCAACAGTTGCTATTTGATCAGTTAAATTTTTAAAAAACATCTTTGTCTATAACTTCATAACATAATTCAAAAAATCTATTTATCAATAACGTGCTAAAAAAAATATCTCTATAAATTTTTATTCAATTCTAATTGGATTAATTTTTGTTCATATCTATAATTATAATATACATAACGGACACTTAACTAAATTATAAATTAAATTATATTAAATTATCAATGATTAAAAATATAGTTGAAAATTTTCTTTACAAGTTGTTATTAAATCCATTTAGATACCTAGTCTTATCAGTTTTTTTTTAAACTTGCATGTTTTAACAACCTTGCATTGCTAATAATTATGGCATAGCAGTAATTTTCATGAGAGTTTTATATGTATTGGTAATGTTTTTTTTATGAAACACTAGTGAAGTAACCCACCCTGGGTTTCATACTCTGCACTAGGGAAATTTGTTTCAAAATGTTTATGTTAATAAAATAAAAGCTTGAGTAACTCAGGAAAAATGTAGCTACTTATGTGTTAGAATCTGCAGAAATGGGTTCAGTAGCTTCAGAGATTACTTGCTAAAAACAAACTTTGCCTCTTAATAGTATAAGTAGTTTCTAGAGTTTGAATGGGCCAGATTAATAATGGGACAATATTTAAACCTGGTTAGGTATTCAGTCAAATACTAGACATCTGTAATCTGGACATCTCCAAGGCCAGAGTGAACAGGCATCTTCTACGCAGGTGTGTACCATCTTAGGCCTCATCATCGCTTTCCATCATGCGAGATTGTGGTCAAATGCATTGTTTATTAGGCAAAAAAAAAACGAATAGGTATTGAATGAAATATTTTTATGAGGTTTAGAAAAATAAAAAAAAGTATGATTAAATATTTATGTGTTCCACAGCTAGATCGTTTATTCAACCCATTATAAGCTTATTAACCATTAGTGTGATTTATATTATTGTTATTTTTTTATGTATCATTTGAAGGTCATGTTTAATGGCTTATTTATTATTCATCCTTCAAGAACAATGTTACCCACCTGTGTAAATTTAAAAGTATAATGCAGGTAATAAAGTATTGAATAATTTTATGACTAAAGATAAATATTGGACATGTTACATATAGCTTTCTACATAGTAACACATTTATGTTGCATACCTACTGCTTTTAAAAATTATCATTCAAGTCTACAAAAAATTACAGACAAATCAATTAAATACTATTTGGCAAGTTCCTTCATAATGATTTCACCAAAACACATTACCTGTATCCTTTTAGTACCTTAACTATTAGGATGTTTGTACTTAATTACAGGAATAATAAAGATTTCTAGAATAATTAAGTATTTTTTTAAATCTATGTTATAGTTGGTTAGTTCTATTATAAAATTAATTGCTTGATCTTAATGAAAATCACTGTCTAATTTGAACTTATCTCATTTTATTTTATTTGTTGCAATAAAAATATTGTACTATTATCACTATAAAAGTAATGACCACAAATTTATGTACCTATGTATATTTGCTGTGAACACAAATTATAGTTTATTATAAAACTGAGTAGCTACATTATATTACTTACTTTTTCATCTAAAATATAGGGATAGGGATATGTCAACCATACTTGCAGAAAAAAATCATCAAATTGCAAATAATAAAAAAAAAAATATCATTCAACAAATCGAATGTGTCCTCCATAGGTACATGTGATCTTCAGCTACAAAGGCAAGAACCATTTGATCAAAAAGGACATCCGCTGCAAGGATGATGTCTACACCCACTTGTATACACTCATCGTTAAGCCTGACAACACCTATGAGGTGCTCATTGATAATGAGAAGGTTGAGTCTGGTGAACTGGAGGCTGACTGGGACTTCCTGCCACCCAAGAAGATCAAGGTTTGTACTCTTTGAAAAAATAAATAAAATTAAAAGTTTAATTTTGCTACCCTATATAGCTCTGGTAATCTTACTGCAGCATATTGTTATATATAAGACTAGCGGACCCGACAGACGTTGTCCTGTCTACACGTCTTTGTGAATCTAAACCATTCTCAGATCCCCTTGAACACACACAAAAAATTTCATCAAAATCGGTCCAGTCGTTTAAGAGAAGTTCAGTGACATACACACTCACAGAAGAATTATATATATAAAGATATAGAATAAGATAATTATAATACCCTTTTGCGCAGGGTTTGATTTCTAGTTCAGCAGAGTAAAGGGCAAGGCAAGAGGAATCCTACCCCATCAAAGTAAATCATCAGTTTCTGATCCAAGTAGTATGCAAATTACCTCTGCCTCCCTTTCTAGGTAATTGGAACAATTTCAAAAAGTTCAGATATTTATCTCTAAAGGTCCACCTTCATTGTGCAGCATTCAGATTCTGTGGGGGTGTAGATTTAGATTTAACTCATTTTTGTGGTAATCTCTCAAACAATACTATAGCAAGATAGAATATTTTTAAGACATATTCAACATTTATCATTAATTTTGTCCTCAGGACCCAGAGGCGAAGAAACCCGAAGACTGGGACGACAAACCGACCATCGCCGACCCCGATGACACTAAGCCCGAGGACTGGGACAAACCTGAGCACATCCCCGACCCGGACGCCACCAAACCTGAGGATTGGGACGATGAGATGGACGGAGAATGGGAGCCCCCTATGATCGACAACCCTGAGTACAAGGGCGTCTGGGCACCGAAACAGGTATAAATAATAAACATTTTATTTCTATTAATTTAACTAGCGGCCGCCCGCGACTTCGTACGCGTGGAGTTAGTAATTGACCCCAAAAGGGTTCACTGCTCGTTCCCCGTACGTGATAGCGTGATAATATGTAGCCTATATGTTGACCCGACTTCTTAATAATATTCGTGCCAAATTTGAAGTAAATCTATGCAGTACTTTTTGAGTTTCTTGGTCATACATACAGACAAACAGACAAAAATTCTAAAAATTATATTTTTGGCTTCGGTATTGATTGTAGATCACACCCCAAGTATTCTTTTAAAAATACTTGGAGTGTGATCTGATCTGACCTGTGTGATCTAAAAATACTAGCATAATCAGATGACATAAAAACTTCCTAAGTAATATTATCCCATTACAAAAATCCTAAACTAAAACAGAAACGTAAAAGATTTTGTTTTTGTTAGGAAAAACAGGTTTTAAAACCGAAACCTATAGGAATTTTATTTAACGTGTTCTAAATACAATCTAATCATTTGACCCAATTCCAATAAGATTGTTGAACGTTATCTAAAAGCTTTCGTCACTTTCTGCGAATGACGTGATATAGTAATAAAGTGTAAGTGTACTTTTTATTTTAACACCTGGTGACAAAAAATGGATTCAAGTGTGTTCACCTTACTAACGGTATTTATTAGCGCGAACCGATTGCACAAGTCTAGCTGGTCATTGAACCCAGAGTCGCCTCTACTTTGAATCCAGCTAGCTTATTGTGTTTAGCGAAAGTCGATTTTATTGTTGGAATCAGAATTGTTAAATTTTATTGTACACAACAATACTTTAAGTAGTTAAATTCATTGAAAAAGTATTAATATTTAAATAACTTTAAAAAATCGGAATTTATTCAAGTATCAAAATATCAATACATCTTTTGATTTAAGTGCCGAAAGAAATGAATAGAATCGTAGTCTGATACAAATTCAATAGTTTTTGGATAGGATAGTTTTGTACAAAAAGACTCATTGGTGTGGATTCTGGCATGATTCAAACTTAACTTAAAATAAAAATCAGTCTCACCTTTCCATTCTGTATAGAGAACAAGAATACACTGTTGCCAAATATAAGTTTAGGTTTATAAAAAATTGTAGTGGATATTTAAAAAATAGATATTTATAAAGATAACTCCAAATGTGGGTTTTTACATCTGTTAGGTCATTTACATATTTTTGTCACAGAATACATTCCATAAGCTTAAGGATTTGTTTACTTAAATGTCCGTACACCTCACCTGTTTGTAAGTTTTAATAAAGAAAAGCATTGTTTATATTACCAGGTATACTGATTACCAGGATTTTGCGAGTCACCAATGTTACTGCACTCTAAATAACTCGACGTGGCATTCTGTGACTCTATAATGTTAGTCAAGAGATCCTTATATGAGCACCGCTTTTTGTTATAATTTTTTATCGACACAACTCAGTCTCAGATCTCTTCAAGATCATATCGCGTTTTGAAAGTCATCCCCTATGAGACTTGCGTGAGGCTAGGTGTGAGTTCAGTTCGTTGGTGTGCCCCTTAAGGGCGCCAACGCTTGTAAATAGAGGTTTTGCCTGCGTAATAAAAGTTGTTTAAAGCTCTATTTTGTTTATTTCTTTCCAGATTGACAACCCAGCATACAAGGGCCCTTGGGTTCACCCAGAGATCGACAATCCCGAATACACTCCCGATGCTAACATTTACAAACGCGACGAACTCTGCGCAGTCGGTCTAGACTTGTGGCAAGTCAAATCCGGCACCATCTTCGACAACTTCCTGTTCACTGATGACATCGAAGCGGCTAAGGAGAGGGGAGAGGCGATCAAGAAGACCCAAGAGGGAGAGAAGAAAATGAAGAATGAGCAGGATGAGGTTGAGAGAGCGAAAGAGAAGGCGGAAAAGCCTGATGATGAAGATGATGAAGATCTAGATGATGAGGCGGGCGACGCGGCGCCTGTTGTAAGTATTCTATGTTATATGTTTATTAAACTGCTTGATTTAAAAAAGGATACAAGCAGTTCCCACCGTTTTCACTTCCCCCCCGAAACTAACTTTGACTGTAACGCTTTATAAATCCAAAGAAAAATTTACTAGGAAAAAAGATACAATATTTGTGAAAAGTAAATAGATGAGAGTAACCAAAAATTTATTTGTCCCTTTCTTTCTTAGTAACTTCGTGCTTCTAAAGGCATGTTAAACTGTTGGCCCTGACTGCATCTGCATTTGTAGATTTGACACAGGTCTTAGTAAAATTCCTATTTTTTGTTGAACTGAACATTTACAGTTCATAAACTATTCTCCAATATTTACCCTTTATCTCAGGGGGTTGTGGTAAACAATTATATTATTGATAGGCGGTTAAGAAAATACACATTGAATCACCATTCCTGTTTAAAACTATACATAATACCTCTCTTATAGGCTTTAAAATTGGTATACATCATTTTAAGGTTGTTTACGTACATTGTCCATTGTGTCAGTCCTAACGCGAATTTTCTTTGTCAACAGGAGGATCACGACGAACTGTAAACGCGTGTGCGTGAGTGCAGAGACAATAAGTGCCGTGTGTGCGTGTGCGAGCGAGATGGCGAGCTACGTGTGATGTAGATGCAAGATTTTAGTTACGCGCAGTCGTGTGTTCCATTCTCTTCTATATTCAAATAAGTTGCGGGGGTGTCCGCTCGAAATATTCCAATGTTCGGACGCCACGCGACTGTCGTCCGGACAGTACTGAGTTTGTGTGTACATACGGTTTAAATTGCCACGGCACGGTTACGCGTACATGTGATGCGACGTTCCATTTACGGTCTAGTTTTTTTTTTTGTAATTGAGCAATTAAAAACTTTTTCCTTTTCGTTTGATTTTAATGCCAGTTATATTTAAAACCAACTGAGCTGTGGTTGCTCTATACCGCCTTGGGTATACTTGATCTCTTCTTTAAACCTTTAAGAGGTTGTGATCATAATGGAATAGCAGACTTGTACGCGTAATCCTGCCTTTTTATCCTATTTAAATGTTGATATGTCGCGGCACCGTGTGCCGGTGTAGTGTCTATGGTTTATTCTACAGTGTGAGTTGTTGTAGCCTAAATGTTTCTTTTCTTTACTAAGAAATCGACTGATATTGTAAAATAAATCGTGAGTGGTGTACGATTCTCATTTATGTTGTGAAATGAGTATTAAATTAATATATAAATTATTTGGTATTTTTATTGATTACTATTGTTTAATTTAAACATTATTGAATACAGGTTCACAGTTCATAGTATGCTGAAGAATCTTGCTACAGAGCGTCCATCTTCACTTATAATTTTTCACATAACACCAACTGGAAAAAAATAATAATGTTCATGTAATTACCTACTTTTTCTTTGTATGTAGTTCTATTATTAATCCACAATGCATACTTACATATTAGTGCCAGTGCTGTAAAACAGAAGTAAGAAATAAAATTAGTACAAATATCATGTTTCTTAAATGGTGGATTGGGCTATGGCCACTCGCTTTAGGTAACTACTAAGAAATAAAATCCACGCGGATCAGGCAGCAGGCGGGACTCGCGCTGCCTTGCAGCTTAAGAATGGCTAGAAGAATTTCGACGCGGCCATGAATTTTTTCTAGTTATATTTTCTTTAGATTTAAACATCAAGCAGTTACATGCTTAAAAATAAAAAAATATTACTATTGATATGTTGAATATACATACTGATTATTTTCCTGTGATTGACTGTTCCGTAGAGGGTACAGCCACAGAAATCTTATATAATGTGGTACAGTGGACAAATACGTGTTAACCGCTGTACCTTTGCCCATAAAATACAACCATATTAAATTTACAGACGATATTACGTAATTTTTCCGTTCGTATTTCAGTGTGGAATAACGGTACCGACACCAAGCTCGAACAACTACGAGAAAGTATTCGTATCGCCATGCCGAAAGTTTCAATGGACAAAAGCTAGTTTGTCCTGACGTCCGGTAGGGGCGCTGCTTAGGTTCCATAGAAACTAACGTTGGCGATACGAATAGATCTAAGTTCGCCCTTGGGGTACGGATCACTAGTTTTATTTGTTTTATTTACACTTTGGGAGCTAACGTCAAAATTTAAAGCACGACGACGCGGGGTATCGTATTTCCAAAGCTCGGGCGCAACCCATTTTTGATTGCAAGTGACAACGATGCTACGCTGCACATATGTCCTCACCCTCATGGTCATTTTCTACCTATAAGATATTATAATGCGTCTAGTAAATCGATTGCGCAGCGCACTGCCTGTTAAATATGGAAATTGTGGCCAAGAAGTTTATACCAAATAGGTAGAAAGCTTACTTTTCTGAAACAAGTCAACGCCGGGCCTCTTCTCCTTTTTCACGTGCTTTTTATCGATTTCTAGTGTGGGATGCTTCTTGAACACGAAGTCGAACAAACCGCATGGTGCTGCATTCACTGAAATAGTTGTTTTATTATATAAGTAGATTCATGGTAAATCAATTAAAACTGAGGCCCGTATCATAGAAAGATTCTCAGTAATTAATCTAGTCTTGAGCATAGATAGAGAGGGATGTCGCTATATTTAGCACATAGCGACATCCCTTTCTAACTGTATTCAAGTAAAGATCAACATTTAGTTGTCATTCTGTAATATGGGCCTTCGTGTTTTATTATATAAAAAGTAATGAACAATTCACGAACCAATATCAAATTTGAATAGTTTGCGAGTCCGAAATGTCATTGTCTGTATGTTAGTCGGTTAGACTACTTGCTAGCGATTTTAAACGGCTAACCGGCTTTGCAAGGGGGAACTTTATTTTAACGCGATAAAATAGGCAGGGTTAAAGTAGCTAGTTTCAGTTTATTCGCTATTAACATACAAAAATGCAAATCCTTTTAAAATAACACTCGAAGAGATTACTATCTAATCTATTGTACCCCTAGCACGAACCATTATCAAATTCGAATAGTATGCGAGTCCGATATGTCATTGTCCAATTTTGTATGAAAACGAACAGCAGCGCCACAAAGTACGTAACGAGAACTATTGTACTGATTTTTAGTTCTCGTTATATACTTTGTGGTGAGGCTGTTCAAGTTTTCAAGGCAAATCGCTAGTAAGTAATACAGTAGAGAAAAGCGCTGATGTCAAAAATGAGACCTAATGAAGACGTTTTAAGACGCCAACGGAAAGGGATGAAAAAATAAAATTTTCGTTATACAGATATTTGTAAATATCAATTTATCATATTTAGCCCTAGTCCAGTAGGGCAACGGGTACAGTGGTGGTATAGCGTGATCCCTTCCAGGGGCGTATTTACAAATCTGGCGCCTCTCTCGGCTCTCGCCCCTAGAATTAACGAATCAAATCAGCCCGGGCCATTTACGATTTACGAAGTTTTCGAATACGTTTTTGCTCAAAAGGCACCCTTTCTAAGCCTCCGCTATCCGTCCATCAATAGCCATACAAAAACTTGTTTAAAGATTTTATGGCGTTTTTACTGTTCTTGCGCTTTTTAACGCTAAATTTTACACGATTTTATATGAAATCAGACCTTGAGATGAACCTTTGACATCATCAAAGTAAGTTGCGATCACCTCTCAGCTGCCGAGTTTGTATTAGTTACCATCAACTATAAATATATTATTGTGCCATGATATTTACTAACATCACTTTACATGCGAAACTTACCTTCATCAAGCACAAATATGTTGAAGATCTGCAACAATGGAATATTATAATAATTTTGTGCTCTTAAAATAATGCATAAATTGTATTTTAACTTAGATAAGGCTGAGTTCTTATATATTTTCTACTGTTAGAATCCCCTTTTCTCTAAAATTTAGGCATTTTCATATGGGACATGAATTATGTTATGAAATATTGTAAAGATTTTGATAATATTTAATTTAATACAATATCAAAATACGAGGTAAACCTGCATTATTTTTTGGGAAATCTCACGGAGGTTAGATGTTTTTTTTTGATTTTTAATGAGATGGAAAATTAAAATTCTAGTTCTAATACGTTACAACAACAACAACATATTTCTGATGTCGTAGTAATTAATCTGATCTAATTTATTGAACATTATTGAGAGATTGAGGCATTTGAAGTTGTGCATATCTACGTTTTTTCCGTAAACTAGCTGCAGTAGAACGATCATATGATGTGCATTTATTTTCAATTTCGTACTTAGATAATAAAATAAAGTCTTACCAAAACTGTGCAGCACAATAATAACAGAAAATGGAATCGTAACATCCTTATGACTGGAGAAGAAAATATGAAGAACGCAACTCATGTATTCCACTTTTATTCATATAACTACCTACTTATGTGACATAATGTTTGTTCCGCTGATTTCTACGCATCTCAAACTGCTTATTATTATACTTATTGTAACACTTTTGACAAAGCAATGTATTATTAAGCAGTGCGGTCCTTGGTCAGTAAGTAAATACGTGACAAATGTTTTTGTACGGGCTCATCGTTAAAGTAACTACGCGACTAGGTATAAAATAGTTGCCAAGGTTTCCTCATTTTGCAAAAGTCTGATTCTAACGTGTTTGCATCGCTGAAACAATTTTGATGAATTTGGGATTAAGTAAATAATTAATAAAGTAGCGGCTGCCCACGACTTCGTCCGCGTTAACTTAAGGCTTTTGAGAATCCTTCATGAAACTGTCATTTATTCCGTCTCAATCAAGGACATAAACTATGTCATCATCATCATCATCATCAGCCTATTAATGTCCCCACTGCTGGGGCATAGGCCTTCCCTATGGATGGAATAGGGAGATTGGGGCCGTGACCCACCACGCGGGCCCAGTGCGGATTGGCGGGTGCTAACGACTGCAGATGCAGCCGGGACCAACAGCTTAACGTGCCTTCGGAGCTCGAGACAGAAGATTTTTGGTCACCCATCCAATGACCGACCACTGCGAAAGTTGCTTAACTTCAACGATCGCAGCCGAACGCGCTAACTATTCGCGCCATCGAGCTCCTTATAAACTATATGCGTACGAAATATTATCTCCGTTCAGTTTTGGCGTGATTGAGAAACATACAAACATATAAATTTATTTCAGTATCTCTCAGCTGGCAGTGCTGTTTCCTTGAAGTTCTGAAGTTTTGATTGCATTTTGGGATTCCGGATGTCGTTGGTGTTGTTTCTCATTTTCTCAACTTGCAGGTATGATAATAAAACTGTATTAAAAAAAAACGTTTGGCATTTTTTTCTACTGTATTTTTCCAACTTGCAGGTATTATTTAGCTGTAAGTATTTATAATCACTCGTTCAGTCTCTTTCAAAATAATTTTCAACTTTCACTTTTGCGTTTACAACAGAGTGAACCTTTTGATGTTTTTCTACGGAGATTGAGTTCGCGGTTACCAGCTAGAATTGAGTATAGAGCAATAGGGTATTTGACAGTATTAAAAATAAAGTGCCAATTGTTAGCATCTGTGTTTAGAATGAATATGGGCAGGAGATTTTACTATTTTACAAAAAAAAAAATACTCAAAATTTTACTAAAAACCACACGAAAAAGATAATACCTAGTTTTCTTATCTATTGTCACGTGACTCAAAACGCTTGGGATTGGCGGAGGCTAAAATGACGTTACACGCAAGTAAACTTCCGGATAAAGTGACATTACATTGTATCGTTTGACGTTTTAATAACAGTCGTGTGACGTCACGACGTCACACACTAGTAAGACGCCATATTTTCCAAAGAAACGTTTTCGCGGCAACTTGAAAATGGAGTTTTTGATTTGGTTATTTTTACTGAAAAACACAACAGAATAATGTATATCCACTTTTTACGG